ACAATCATCTCATCAACACCCCCCCCCCCCCCCCTTCCCTCCACAATCTTATATTATCCACACTCTAGATATCCAGTCTTAAGCGTGTAGGAGAGGATTGAGTCCCCACATCAGTAGGCATAAGGTCGTTGGTCTCCTTATATGATTTTGGGCAATCCTTCAATCATAAGCTAGATTTTGAAGTTAAGTTAGACCTCAGAATTCATTCCTTTATAGAAAGTGAACGAGATTTCTTTAAAAAGACTAAAACAAAAGTAAAATAGTTAAAATTGAAACATAGGTTTAATGGGGAAAAAATTGTTTACTTATAACAACACAAAATCAAACAGAGAATACCAAGCACAGCTTCAAAGATTACAAATTTGAAAGAATTGACTAAGCATTAAGCTTCACAGACTAGAAATTGACTAGGGTACTATAACTGGCAAGTAAGCACTCTAACTTCGAGATTGCATAGCTACACCCCTTAACTTGGTTTCGACAACTAAATATTTCAACTCGTTACATTGTTTCTCGTGGACACCTACACTAACATTGCACTTCATTTTGTAAGTTATAGTGTTCAACTGACATAATTGAAGCGAATAAGTTGTCTAGACATGCATATTCAAAGTTGAAGTTTAGTTACTAACTGTGACTAAGTTTGAGTATTATTTATATATTATGCCTAGTTTATTTTGGTCAAATTTCTAAAAACCGCATAGTTATCTTTTTTTGTGTGTGTGGCTTTTCCAAAAAGTTTTTTAGCTTATTTTGAGAAGTATTCTTTTTCCAAAAATGTTTTTCGAAAAATTAATTTGGAAATTAGTAATTTGTGTTTGACTAATTAATTTGAAAAATATGTTTGCGAATATTAACACCAATTTGAAATATGTGTTTACTCAAACATCATGATTTATAAATATTAAAATATGTATAATAAAAAATTAAAATGAAATAAAATTATTATCGTGATGATATAATGCTATTGATGCTAGCGTCATAGGACGATTCGTCACCATGATTTTAATACACCATATTTAATCTTATTGGCCTGATTCAAATTAACTATTTCTTTTGTTTCAATTTATGTGACATTTTTCATTTTTTGAGAGTTAAATAGCTTAAGTTTGACCGGCAATTTGTGTATGAAATCTTCAACTTTTTTGAAATGAAATTTATATATTTGTAAACTACGTAAAAAGTATTATAAGTCACAGTAATTGACAATTCAAAATATTTAAAAATATATGAAAATTTACGGTCAAAGATAGACTTGTTTGAATCTCGAAATTCAAAATGTGTCATATAAACTGAGATGGAGGGAGTAATATTTTATCCGGCTTCGGATATAAAATCTTTATTTTAAAAAAATAAAATAAAACTTATATATTTAAAACTATATACAAGATAAACTTCAAAACATTTAAAAAATATATAATTAAAAAGGAATAATTTCAGAGAGCTCTCCTCAGGTTTGGCCTCATAACACTAACCTTCGTTGTAGTTTACAATATTACGCTTATCTTCCTTATTTTAATATTTTGTAACAAATTTTTTAATTTAATTATTATTAAATAAAAGAAATTATAATCAAACTAATTTATCCTATCCGAAATACCGTTAATGAAAAAATTAAAACAAACAAATTAAAACAGGAGTACATTGAAAATGATTGGGGAAGAATATACACAAGTCTAAATAAAGTTACCAGACATCCCCTACTGACATTTCTCCATAATATACAATTGATTGAAAGACTACCTTTTATATAGAGTTGTGACAAACTATAGTGCACTACTTGAAAATTTCAAGTAACATAATCAAATTAATGTTTATACTAATATGGCTTGTCAATGTCCACTTTTTTTGTGTTGCTAGTGTTTAATTACAAATACTAGATGTTAAAATCATATAAAACATATGGACCCAAACCTATTATTTTTACAAAAAAAAAAGGGGTATAGAGATATACATTGCACAAAAGGCGAAGATTTCGTTTTGAATTATCTTACTCCACTATATTTAGAAAGTATCTGATAATGGAATTTAGGTCTAACACAATATTAAAATTATTAGTTCGTAAGTTAAGTATTATGTAAGACTATACAATTAAAGACACGATATATTTGTGCAATCAACATGGGTGAATGTAATTATTTAATTATAGGTTCATTTGAATCTAATATTTTTGATGAGAAACATAATGTTTTTTTATGTAAAAATCCGTTAAAATACAACAAATAATAGGTTTAAACACATAACTTAGAAAGTACAACAGGTTCGATATTAAGAATTTTAAAGATTGAATCGATAGAGAACTTAAGTCTTCGATCTATTTTTGGCAACCAAGGTGGGACAATTAATACCCCACCGGCCATCGCAGGATTAGAGTTAGTATATTTGGAGTTTGAACAAACGTAATATGAAAAAAAATAAAAAGGGCACATCAATTTCTTTTTAACCAAAACGGTAAAATCGCTCCTGACTGAGCGATATTCTTCTGACAAAATTGACGCCGTTACTCCTTTAAAAAACATAAAAATCGCTGCCCCAGCAGCGATTTCGTCCAAAAAAAAATCTTTTTCCTTTAAAATCACTGTTGTGGCAGCGATTTTGTGATTTTTTTATTTTAACAACACTGCCCCAACAGCGTTTTTCTCAAAAAAAAAAATAGTACAAATAGCTGCTATAGCAGCCATTTTCTTAAAAAAGTTTAAATTTTTTTTTACTCCCAAGGAGAGGACTGCTTAAAAAAATAATGGGAAATCGATCCACGTGTAGCGATTGTAGTTTAAAAAAATATTTTTTTTTAATAATCGCTGCCAAGGCAGCGATTTCAGTAGAAAAAATTTCCCAATTGAGTTACTTTATAATTTTTTTATTGTATACTTTTTGATTGCTAGCAGCAATTTGAACATAATAAAAAAAATTCTTACTGAAATCGCTGCCTTGGCAGCGATTATTAAAAAAATAAAAATTTAAACTAAAATCACTACACGTGGAGCGATTTTCATTTTTTTAAAATAATTTCTGACAAAAAATTGACGCTGCCATAGAAGCAATTTAATTTTTTTGAAAAACAAAATCACTGCTGGGGCAGCAATTTTTATGTTTTTTAAAGGAGTAACGGTGTTAATTTTGTCAGAAGAATTGATGTGCCCTTTTGGAATTTTTGACAATTTTTTTGCCCTTTTGGCTTCGGACATTGGATAAATTAATAATCAAGACGGATCTAGCTTTAATGTCATGTAAAGAAGATGAATCTTTGTCCTAATTCAATTAAAATGTTAATAACAAAATTAAACAATGCTAATTATTTATTTAAGATTTAAATTGCTCGATTTGATTAAGGATTATTAAAGTATCTCAAATACAAAAACATGTTAAATACCAAATGCTTGTGAATAAGACAATGTGAATGTGAATATTGATTAACTAGCCATCAAGATATAATTTACGCTAATTGACTCCTCCCCACCCCCTCTTACTCATCCCCGGTGCTTACTCCATTGTATTTGCCTAAATTATATATAAATGATATTGAGAAAATGTTTTTTATTTATTTTATCGAATGTCGAAAAATAAGTAAGTAAATCCGTTAGACATAAATTAATGCGACTATTGGTACAAGAAATGAATAAATTGTACTTCTACTTCAGCTTATGCAGGGAAAACAAGTTTCATAATAAGTGACAATCCACATTGATCGTCTCCTTTTTGTTGCCTCCCACTCATCCCCTATCTGTGCAACCGAAACCATCACAGTGCTTACCTAGATTATATATAAATATACTTGGGATAATATTTTTTGATTACTTCAGTTTATGTTGAGAACATTTTCCTTCCTACCAAACACATCTTCATCCTCTACATTTTCTAGGGAAAAAAGAAAAGGAAGGGAACCACCAATGTGCTTTTTAGAATGAAATCTTCACGTAATAGCTGAACAGATTTCCTATTTTCTTTTTCTAATCAGTATACATAGATTATAGACTAATTATACACAAACATACACATTATGTATGAATTATACATCTTTCAGCTATTTTTAATTTAATCAGTCGGATTAAATTAATTCTTCTTATGGAATCTTTATTATAGGCTTGATTTTACAAAAATATTCCATGCCAAATTAAAAAAACTCCTACCCTCACATCCTTCCTAAACAAAAGGAGAGGTAATTTGTTATTTCATTTGAGGTAAAATCATTAATCCATTTTATTATAATCTCTCTCTCTCTCCCCCACTTTCTCCCCCTCTCTCCAAAAGAAAAGAAAAAACTAATTAACAAGAAAGAGCTTATCATTAAAAGAGAGGGTGAAAGGTAAAAAAAAAATTACTCAAAAAGAGAAAGTGGTTTGTTTGTTTTTCAATTCATATGTAGAAAAAGAAAACATCATTAGCAAATAAATAATATTTAATTAAAAGAGGAAAAATGGGGGCATATAGAGCTGATGAAGATTATGATTATTTGTTTAAAGTTGTTCTTATAGGTGATTCTGGTGTTGGCAAATCAAATTTGCTTTCTCGTTTTACAAAAAATGAATTTAGCCAAGAATCTAAATCTACAATTGGTGTTGAATTTGCTACAAGAACAATTCATGTTGATGATAAGATTATCAAAGCTCAGATTTGGGACACTGCTGGTCAAGAAAGGTGTCAATTCTCTCTCTATTTATTTGATTAAATCGTAATGGATTCAGAATTTTAACTCGATTAGTTTTTTGCACTAGGGCAGGGAAGGAAGAGTAGTAAAAAACAAAAGTGTTTATGTCAATCCTACGTTACGATTCTTTGTTTTCTTATAAAATTTTTAGTTAGATGATCATTGTGTCCACTACTTTTACGATATCGCCCTTACCGTCCCTCGAATTATCTAATTATTTTTCATGTCTCATAAATAAGGTATCGAGCCATCACTAGTGCATATTATCGAGGAGCAGTGGGTGCCTTACTTGTTTATGACATTACTCGTCATGTAACATTTGAAAATGTAGCAAGATGGCTCAAAGAACTCAGAGACCACACAGACCAAAACATCGTCGTCATGCTCGTCGGAAACAAGGCGGATCTCCGCCACCTCCGAGCCGTCCCCACAGGAGAATCGAGCGGTTTTGCAGAAAGAGAGAACACATTCTTCATGGAAACATCTGCACTCGAGGCACTCAATGTTGAAAACGCCTTCACAGAAGTACTCACTCAGATATATCGAGTTGTTAGTCGAAAAGCTCTTGATATAGGAGATGATCCAACTTCTGTGCCAAGAGGACAAACAATTAACATTGGGAAAGATGATGTATCTGCTGTTAAGAAGGGTGGATGTTGTTCCGGTTAAGCAAAAAGATCAATCCAGAGGTGAATCCAGAATCTAGAGTCAATGGGTTCAGAATGGTCAATACGATCTTTGTTTTTGGTATACACACAATTTGAGAAGAAAATAATGAATTCAGTTGAACCCACCCTAGATCCGCCTTTGGATGCAAGTATATATACATACACACATCAAATCCCATTTTCAACAAATGTAAGTTAGGCAAAAGAACTAATAGCATATTATTTTGTGGAGGAAATTAAAGGGGGATGGAAGTACATTTAGCTTAAAAGTTTACTTGTTTTAAATTTTTCATGTGTAATTTGTAAATCAAGGGAATTTCAGCTAAGGAAACTTTCTTGTTACAAAAAATGTTTGCAATAGACTGAATGTTACATTTTGCTTCACCAACCTAAAATAGAAATAAAGGTGATTTTTTTTCTCTTTTCTAAATGAACGAAAAGAAACACATTCTTTTCTTTTATCTTCTTCTATGCCAAGAGGGCAAAGCTAGAGTTCTAGTTGCGAGTTCAGCAGAACTCAATTGTTTTTACTCAAAAACTTGTATTTGTGTTGAGAAGTTCACTTAATATGTAACTTCAAACATTTGTGCACAACAATCCTTGGGAGTTTCTTGGGTAGTTTATTAGGATTCAGGGGGCAGATGCTTCCTAAGAGTAACAGAGACGTGCAAAGGGGCACCTAAGCTAGGATCCTGCTCGTGAGCATAATTCTCAAGTAAACATTGGAGGATCCGACACGCACCTGTCAAGATTTTTAAAGAGTCTGAGCAACATAGGTTTGGGATGGACCAGGTGTCTTCCACCAAATGGTTTTCTGCTTCCTTGTTAGTGGATGCAATAACTAGACAAAAGTAAAGTTTGTGGGAAGTCTTCTTTTATGTCTTGTCTGTACGAAAGTTGGCTACACATTGTGACTAACTCACTTTTGCATTAACGTGAGAATACAAAGGTTGTTCTTCAACCACACTACGCTGCAGCGATGCCAACTAAACTCACATTTAGGATGAGATCAGACTAGAAGAAACGAAAAAGAAATGTAAATCTCCCTTGATCCTTTATACCTGGAAAAAGTCTTGTCCAGCACTGTAACTAGTTGTACAAATATTGAATGGGGCGGTGCCAAAAATGTTCATCTACTATTTTCAGTAACTGGTCTTACCAAAGCAAATGAACTTTGGGGATTCGTTGACATCAATAATTCCAGTACAACAGCATCACTGGAGCGGCTTATTTTGAGACCTTGTTCTATCAAGTCTGCATTCAAAGATTGTCCTCGCTAAGTAACTGACATCATCATAGGCTTAGACGTTTGATCGAAAGAAATAGCTTAGTGTGAATGTTCGTATTTACCGGGAGAAAGCTTTTCCTTTCCATAGAGCTCTTTCACTAAAGGGTTTGCATCCCATTGACTTTCAGCAACACGACTTGTAGGCTGGAATCCAACAATTTTACCATCCCCAGATAAAACAACCTGATTGGCATACGTATATAAGCACATCAACTATGATAAACACATCTAAACCAACAACTTCCAGGAACATATGAACTAGCCAATTGAAAACGTTCATGACAAATTTGTAGCCATGTTCAACTGGCAACTATAGAAGAGTTGAATTCCAGATGAGAAAAATAAGTTAAAAAAGGGCAGAGAAAGGCCTTACAAGAAAAGAAAAGCTAAAAGCTAAAATCAGAAGTGATGGGAGCTGAGGAAAAAGTAGCAATGGCAGTAGGATCTTCAACACTCAAATTTTATAATTCAGAAATTCCGTGAACTCAAAGTGCAAATTCGACTCCAATTAGCTCATTTCAGGAAATTTTGAATCATTTATCAAGGCGGTCCTATAGTTGTGAACAGGATTATTGCGTGATCTAAAACTTAGATCAAGCATTCAAGCTTGATAACTAGCTTGTTTAATTGTGTTTGTCCATAAAATGCAGTGGTTAACTCTTACATTTCTCACTTATTCCCAAAGGAATATATTTGGCTAAATGTTCACAAAAGACCAAAGCCTTCCGTTGTCCTAGATTCTAACCATAACTAGCACAACACCATGTCTATCCTGATTATAGTTAATCTTGTGTTTTTACGTTCATAATGATAAAAAAGAGAAACTGCATCCTAAGAAGAGACCTGATAACTGGCAATATCTTGTGCAGCTGCTTTCATCTCATCTTCAATTCCTTCCGATGGCGTGGAGCTGGAATTGAGATCTAACACTTTGGAATCCATCTCATTCTTCAGGTATATTGGAAGCTCCCCAATCCAAGCAGAGCTGCCAGAACCCATCACTACATCTCCAGGCCAACAATAAAATTCCTTGATTCTCCTAACAATGGAGACACAGTAATCTTCCAACTACAGAAACAAAGAGCATTTGGCAATGTGATGATTGAACAATATTACCTACTGATAAAAAGAGACAGAACGCCTAGGGTAAAATGATAATCAACTTAAAAGTGTAAAAAACAATAAAAGTGGCCAATAATGCAAAAGCATGTATCATCCACTACATGGTCATAGAAACAGTAACTTCTTATGACAGGTAATAGAACTGAGGGTGTGTTTGAACAAATAAAAACCATACCTTGCAAGATTCCATGGACTGAGGCTGAATAGAGATCATGTCAGATGAATTGACTGGATTAACATCCGGATGATAGTGCTTTCTAATCGGGAGATAAGGAAGATAACGTTGACCAAGAATTCTTATAGCAACAAGAAAAATTCCACTTGCAAGGACCATAGAGATTGCCTTTGACATAGAAATGCTTCTCTAGAATCCAGAAGGTGAAAATGTTATTATCCATTTGGTTCCAGAAGACATCTTTTGTACTTGAACTAATTATTTAAATAAAAGAAAAATTATATTCATGTCCGATACTCCCAGAAGATAGAGAAAGCATGAATGTGAAGGAAGGCAATATCAAAGAAGATACCAACTAGCCATTCAGGGATTCATGTGTCAGTCAAACACAAACCACTTTGAAAGGGAGTTCAAATACTTCAATGGCAAACTAACGAGGGTGCTTTTTTTTTGGATGACAAGGGAAATCCGCAGCCGCTACCCTTTGGGTGCGCACAAGGTAAAACCCCCACTCCTATGCAATAGCTCGCAACGAGGGTGCTTTATTAAAACTGTATTTGTTTACAAATTAAAATTTTAAAAAGAAGAATGGTTACAGAAGAAATTATCAATTCATAGATAATAACAAATAAAGCAGAGGCATGTAAAGAGCTTATATATCATACCTTGCTAGATGGCGAATTGAAAGATTTTGCAATAACACCCGATGATAATTGTTTGTAGGGAAGTGTATAGACATCTTCATAATACATATCTAGAATGTCACTTAGACCAACCTGAAAAAGTAAAACAAGACAATAATTATTACAATGCCCATGAAGTGTGGACTCCAAATGAAATTTTTCCAGTAGATCATATCACATCTTAACCTGAGTCTTATAAGCAGACCAAAAAGGAAAAGCATTTGGAAACATCTTGGGAGATATAAGCATTTGATGACAGAGATGTTTGTAGTCTATTGGCTTCACACACTCCAATTCCTTCACTATTGATGCACACACCTACTAGGAGGGTTCATCAACTAAAATAAAATGGATGACCTAATACACGGCTCACTATTAGAAGTCAAGGTTACAAATTTTAGAACCTTATGCTTTGGGAATAAAAACCTGTATGAACAACCAAAACCAAGGTGCTAGAAGACTAAAGTGGTCAAATCTTTAGCATCTACAACTTTTTCTAAACAATCTTGACATGACAAAAGAGGGAACTATAAGTAAGAAACTAAAGACCTTTTAAGAAAGGTATAACTCAGAGTGCTTTCTCAAAAGTTATATGTCAGAGTGACACTGAGTCCAATTTTTCTATTAGAGTCCAACACACACATTAAATTACTGAGTCCCTCCATTTCAATTTGTTTGCCTTTTTTTTACTTGGCACGAAGTTTAAGAAAGTAAAGAAGACTCTTGAATCTTGTGGTCTTCAACTAAAGATATGTAAAATGTACCAAAATGTCTTTAATCTTGTGGTCTTAAATATACCATGTGGAAAGTTGGAACTACAGAGTTGCCAAAAAGGGAAAGATGCATTCTTTTTAAACGGACTAAAAAGAAAAGTAAGACAAACAAATTGAACAGGAGTATATAGAAACTAAAATTGTTATATATATATATATATATATATAGACACACACACATAAAAGTCCCAAACAGCTGAAACTACAAAGCAAAACTAGTCAATTGGCCAATGAGAAACAAGAAACGGCTCTAGCAAAACTGACCATTCAAGATTTGACACTAGTATAAATGTAAAGACATTTTTCTTCATATGTGCATTCCTAGTGTTAAATCTTCCAAAGACTAAGGCAATCAAACTTTTCAACCTTTTATTGCATAGCCATAGACAATAAGTAGGGGTGTTCGTGGTTCGGTTTGGATCGGTTGGTTAAAACCAAAACCAAAACAATCTAATCGATTTTTTAAATATCTAAAACCAAACCTAACAAAAAAATAACCGTCGGTTGGGTTATTGTTGATTTGGTTTGGTTTGGTTTGGTTCAGTTTTTCTGATTTTTTCGGTTTGAAAGTAATAATTTTTTGAGGGCATATGTATCTCGATAGACACAAACACCTAGTACATGAACAATCTACAGGAAAGCTATTGTCGGTTCAATTAAGCAATACTAGAGTTATTATTAGCGAACAAAGTGATACAAGTAAGAGAAAGTGTGACTATCTTATGTGAGGTAGGGCAGATAATGACTAAAGTAATGGATTTTGATGGACTTGGACTTAGGATTGTAATAGTTGGGCTAAAATTTAAGTGTTGGGCTTGAAAAAATGATGAAGTTAGACTTAAGTTAATTAAAATTAAAAAATATTTTGTTTATGAATAATATATAAATTATTAGATAATTTATATATCTAATTTATCGGTTCGGTTTGGTTATTTTTGCGGTTGTTTTTTGGTAAAACCAAA